GACAACTCCCACCTGTTTATGCTCTCTGTATGTGTGTGTGTGTATATATATATATATATATATCTATCTTCAATATATGTTCCATTCTATATGCATCCGAAGAAGTGGGCTGTAGTCCACGAAAGCTTATGCTCTAATAAATTTGTTAGTCTCTAAGGTGCCACAAGTACTCCTGTTCTTTTTGTGGATACAGACTAACACGGCTGCTACTCTGAAACCTGAAATGAATACATTGTAGGTGCTATTTTTGTCTATCTTTTCAGTGTTTATTTTACTTTGTTATTGTGTTTGGCTGTTCTTTTGGACTTAAAAAACTGCAGGTAATAAACTCTCCTTGAGGATCTTAGATTGAAACAAAATGATGCTCTGTTTTATTATTTTAATGATGGTAGTTACTTGAAATACCTAAGAAGTTGAATGTTGGTCACCATTTCTGCCTTTAGGTTGTTGTATTCTTCACTACCTGCATGAATTTAAAAAAAACATTTAAAATATTATGTTAGGGAATATCTGAAGGCCAAGGAGGAATAAATTAAGTCAAGTTTGTTTCCTACTAAGACAAATCTTACTGTCCAGGTTACTGCTAGTACTTTAGACAAATCTTATTATGTGAAATATGTCCATTTAAGAAAGGTAAGTCCATACAAACCATTATGAGCTATAATAAATATATTGAAATCTTCACACACAGCAAACACACCCACATTTAGAAAGCAGATAATGCGGTCCAAAAATTCTAAAGCTAGCTTTCTTTTAAATAGAAACTGATAAAAAGACATAACCAGTAATATTTCTGTTTTTCACATTACCTTCTAATATTAGCCTCTCTAGTTACCTATGTAAAAAGATTCAGTATTCCCCAATGCAGTTTCTAGAAGACATGCTACAAATTAGTGCCATAAATGTTACTGCTGTTGGCATTGTAAGTGGACAGGCCGAGCATGGAATGGGTTTGGAGACTCTTCTACCCGTTCTCCCTAGAAGGGGTCTTTGTAGATCAGGATGGAAGCATGCTGGCAGGAATAGGGAGGATTGTGCTGGCCCATGCCTGGCTGCCCCGCTTCTATCCTATGGATGAAGATAGCTCTCCAGTCCCACTAAATTGCTAAAATGGTAAACGTTGTTTTGGGAAGCTTAAATGGAATCATAACATGTAGCAGACAAAAATAATTTCACAACCGCAAGAATCACAATTTGCAAACTCCACAACTTTGAAAACAATATTAAAACATGCTATACCACAGGAACTGACTTTTGTTTTTACCTGTGGGTACTCCCTTTCTATCCCCTTTCCCCCGGATGAGTGGCAGGTGGGACCTTGGGGGGGGGGGGGACAGACCGAGCGGGGCAGGGCCACAGTCTGGGTGCTGGGTCCTTCCCCCAAAAGATTAATCTGGCTCTGCGGGTGCTGAGCAGCTCCTATTTTTTTTCAGTGGGTGCTTGAGCCCCGCAGCACCCACGGAGTCAGTGCTGATGTACTATACAGTGCAAGGCAATAGGAGTTAAGGAGCAGAGCTTCCTGAACCTTTGCAAGCAAGCTTTGAAACTGACCCGCATACTACGTGTGTCCAAAGCAATTCTTATGGCCCTAAAGCTCGGAATGGTCCTGACTCAAGTGCACCCCCTTTTCCCATTGTTAAACTTATTGCAAATGAAAGTTAGATTCAAGTGATTCATACACCTTTGCACCAGAACCTAAACTGGGTCTAATGGCCATACTTGAAAAATACTTTTAAGAGCCCTATGTAAATAGCTACATCAAGAAAGTCATTTGCAGTGTGCAACACCCCCACATTGTATTGGTCCTAAAAAACGTAGGAACTATAGTAGATATTCTTGAACCCCTATCTACTGGCATATTAACTATTTATGTATGTACAGACATACATCACCTCTTCTAACAGGCACAGTCTACTCCTCCTCTTAGTATTTCTCTCTCCAAGACAAAAGCTCTGCATTTTCCTCCATCATGTAGGATTTCTCTCTATACCATTTGCCTCTTGTTTCTTTGCCTCTCTCAGAAACTGTGGGGATTTCCAAAACTATCCTTTCCTTCATCTAAGCCCTGTCATTTACTCTTAGGCCTGTTTCCTTTCTAAACATTGTACAGTGCAATTTCTTTTATTTGGTTTGACAGCCTGTCTCTCCCAAGTGTGCATCAGTAAAAATAAGACAATTTTTTGCAAAATATCTTGAGAAGTTTTTGATTGCTTTGAAAGACTGCTGGAAGCCTTCCAATAGCTCAGGGTAGCTGAGCTAATAAGAATAACATGGTATTGTAATTCTCTTTTAAGAACAACCAATAGCTCAACTAGTAAATGCAAGCTATAATTATTAGGCTAAAACTTTCCTAAAATAGCTGTCAACATTTACTGACTGTGAGGTAAAGCAGATGTACAATCATAATTTTACAATGGAACCATAAATAAATTCCCACAACCACTTTTCCCCCCCAATGACATCAGTTAGATGATGACTTCTCTGTTTGAATCTGAGCTTTGCCATTGTGGTTGTATTGGAAACTTAACGAGATTACTGCACCCAACATAGCTGATTAAAAAAGAAATGGCTGTAACTCCTTTGGAGTTTACCACTTGTTTGAGAGCTTGGCTATAGGATATATCTATCCTTATAGAGGGGAGATTGGATGGGGCTCATAAATACAGTCTATGCACCTCCAGAACAAAAGCTGCCTCAAAACATTACAATCGTAGCAATAGGGTTGGATTAAATTGCCATAGCAACTAGAGTGCATCTCTTCAGAAAGTCACAAGACCTGTTGAATAAATAAAAAGCTTGGGATTTTTCCCCAAAGGAAGGGGAGTAAATGATTGAGGGCAAGCATAGGAGAGTCAGACAGGGAGTTCTGGCTCCACCCGTAATGGTGGAACAGTTTATGAAAGATCAGTAACTTATCTCTGCTACCTCATCACTAGAGTCGACTCTCTATGGTAGCAGGACTCACTGCATCAATACCACTGAAGACTTTTTAATTTGGTAATTGGGTATTCAATAGTTTTGGCTATGAGAGGTGTGTCAGGAGTTAACTCTTATACAGGAGGTGTATATTCATTGGGAGTATTTGGGAGCAAGGATAAATACTAATAATATGTGGGTTTTATAGCAATAGCTTATTACATTTATATCGCATTTGTTTACCCAGCTCTTTCTTCAATTTCTTATTTACACTTTCTTTTCCCTTGTCAGCTTAAGAAAGCCATTCCTGACTGATGAAACTTTAAAAAAAACAACAACAAAAAAACCTGTCCACTTATGTGCACATTTATGGATACCTTGTGTTACAAATAGGTTGCTCTGAAGTTTCCTGGGGAAAACTAAAGCCAATGCTTAGAGGGCAGGGTCCTCAACTAGTGCACATGAGCAAAGCTTCACGGATTTCAGTGGTTCTATAACAATGTACACCACCCACAGATCAGAATACAGACTGTTTCCTCAGGGGATATACTACATACCCTTTTAGCTCATATTGGAACTACCCTTTTGGAATTCCCTTGCCTCTTAAGATTACAAGTGACCAATGTCTCCTGCTTGAAGCCTGCGACCCAGAAGATAGTATCAGCAGCCAAAGGGACATGGCTAGACATCTCCTGAGCCTTGATGTGGGAAATAGTGAAAGAGGCAGCCAGCCTTGGAATATTTAGCAAACCCAATACAGCCGTGTCATATATGTCCTGCAGAGAAAATTTCATCACAATTTGTACTTTGCAACAGAGGGTCCTGTGGCACCTTTGAGACTAACAGAAGTACTGGGAGCATAAGCTTTCGTGGGTAAGAACCTCACTTCTTCAGATGCAAGTGTGTTGCTTTTTACAGATTCAGACTAACACGGCTACCCCTCTGAAATTTGTACTTTGTTTTTTTAATCCATTTGCTGTTTCAGCAATCATGAGGATCTTTCAGATACAGTGAAAAAAATGTTCACTAACTACTAGGGAACAACTCATTTTTTCCCACTGTATCTGTTGGGACAAATTTTGTCAGGTTTATATGAACATATATGAAGCCAATCATGGGGAAAACTGAAATTAGAAATTAGGGTTCGACTAGTACAACTTCTTGCTTCACCGTTAAAAATGAAAGGCTTTGTTATTTTTAATTTTAGAAAGACACACTAGTTTATAAATGTAATGTGCTTATGTAGGAATCCCCATAAGTCAGCCTTGTAGTCACTGTGCTTCTTGGACAAGCAAGAAAGGGGTGCATGTTGGGGGACATTCTCACACACAGGGAAAGTGATATAGCCATTGAACAATCAGAACATCTCAGGAGCCAGGCAGAGAGAGAGAGAGAGAGAAATATAAACTAAAACCAAATACATTTTCATGAGTTACTAAATCTCCAGCTTTGTCACAGCTTGGAGCAGCTGGGGGAAAATAATCTCCACAGTTTATTCAGGAGAGTAAAGAATGAAGGGGAAGAGTATAGGCAAGTGGTTCTGGCTCAAGCAACAAGTCCAGGATGTAAAAGTTTCATTACTATCATCTGGCACTGGCATAATTAATGCCATAAAATATGGACAGCTCTATTTCTGTCCCCCAACCCCCATGAAATAAAGATATGAATAGCAAATAAGTTCAGATATACCTGGATTTTCCGTAACTGCTGATTCCTTTGAAAAACATAGCCCTTTGACTGAAGTTTGTCCGAGAGGTAACAAATTAGTAAGTAAAAGAAATTCCTTAAAACAGTTACAGCTGTTTTTTGTCATTTCTGTCTTTGTTTTTTAAAGAGACTATTTCAGAGTAATGATTCAAGACACTGTAAATAGTACGTTGTCAGTTCATTGTACAGCAGTAAAATTTAGTCTGTGTCTGCAAGTTTTCCATGATGGTTTAAGAAAACATGAGCCACACTCCAGTTATTCACTATTCATAATTGGCTGTTCATGTATGATTAGTCATCTAAGTCACATGGTATTATTTTAATCTCCCCAGTTGGGTGACTCTCAAACCTACAAAGAGCTTTCAAGTTGGACAAAAACTTATGGCACAAACAGTTCTGAAAATACATAATTTTCCTAAAGCTAGTTGAAAGACTTCAAAACTCAAAATGTTTTCAATGGTGCAAATTATGTTGCAAAAAAAAAAAAATTAGTTATATTCTTTGACAAAGAATGTGTCCCTTTTTTCATACCAGTTCTAATACTAACATTTTAAATGAACATTTCCAAGAACATAAATGAACTGACAGGAATGCTTGCAGAAAGGCAACAACAATAGTCATGAATATTATCAAAGCAAATTCATGTTTTGAATTTGAATGAATACTTTACTGTAGTATATAGGTTTTTAAACAATTAATGGTTAGGCAGGGATATTTTTATCCTTCATATAATGGGGCTTTGAATGCTGATGAGATAAGACTTCTTTTTACCCACTCATTTTCAGGTTGGAGAACTAAACACCTTATATGAATGACAAAAAGTCCACACAATGGCCTCAA